TTTTTTTCTACCCTTGGTGGTAATTCCCTATTAAGTAATAGGATTTAAAGTGGTAGACAACTTTTCCCCTGTCATTAATCTGTTTGAACATACTTCATTTACTTTCTTCCATGGTAGGGCACTCTGAAGATGAGTATGAGAAGAACTAAGCATTTCCCACCAACTTTTTTGAGTCAGTGGCCTCTGTTTTCCTCCTGCTTGTTTCTCCAAATCTTACTTTTCCTGGGGAATGCTGGGTATACAAGCCTTCTGCTACTGCTAGTGAAATCCAATTTCACTTTGGGCTTTACTGTAGGGAGAAATATTATATGCCTGAAACCCACTAATTTTGTAATTCACAGTGACAAAAAAAAAAAAGTTGGCATCCTGGGGCTGGAGAGATAGCACAGTGGGTAGGGCGTTTGCCTTGCATGCAGCCAACCCGGGTTCGATTCCCAGCATTCCATATGGTTCCCCAAGCACCACCAGGAGTAATTCCTGAGTGCAGAGGTAGGAATAACCCCTGAGCATCGCCAGGTGTGACCCAAAAAGCAAACAAACAAAAATAATTGGCATTCTTAGAAAGAAAAAGGTGAAAAATAAGAGAGCTCTACCCTATTCAAGGCCTTCTATTGGCTTTGGTTTCTGAGAACCGGTAGAAAGGTAGTGTGGCAGGGCATTCCCTTTTGTTCTCTCCTTTTGGGTGCTGTGGTTTGCAAAAGAGGCATTGAGTGGAAATTATGTTCGGTTTATAGCTACTTTCAGCCTGCATCTCCCGTCCTGGGAGGATCCTCCCAACACCTTTTATTTGGTGCTTCTCTCTCTGAGCAGCCTTTATGATCACCTATTTCTACAACATGGTTTCTTTAAATGAATTTCACATTTAAGGGTTAGTCTACTTTTATTAAATTCTATTTATTGTCAGTTGTCACCATAGCAAATCTAGAACTGAAACAAAAAAACAAAGAACTGTCACTTGGGCTGGATCCGTAGAGTGAGGCACTTGGGTGAGGCAGCTTGCTTGGAGCTTAAAGCAATTAAAATTTTAGTTACTTGTTAGTTGGGCTGGAGCAATAGCACAGCGGTAGGGTGTTTGCCTTGCACACAGCCAGCCCGGCCAAGCCGGGTTCAATTTCTCTGCCCCTCTCGGAGAGCCCGGCAAGCTACCAAGAGTAGAGTATCTCGCCCGTATGGCAAAGCCTGGCAAGCTACCCGTGATGTATTCAATATGCCAAACACACTAACAAGTCTCAAAATGGAGATGTTACTGGGCCCGCTCCATCAAATTGATGAACAACGGGAGAACAGTGCTGCTTGTTAGTTTGCAAAGTTGTTGTTACAAAATACTACAGATTGACTGACTTAAAGATGAAAAAATTTTTTTTCAATATTTGTCGACTAGAAATCCAAAGTAATTTTTGATGAGAATTTGATGGAAGTGTACAATGTTACTTTCTAGGTTGTCCTGCTAGTCTCTTGGGAAGTTTATATATATCTCAGATCACCAGAGAGAGTGAAAGACTTGAATATTTCAATCCTAGTTTTTTGCTTGCTTGTCTTGTGACTTTCTGTGGACTTTCTGTGATTTTCTGTGGAATTCTTGGTTGTAGAGAAAGTATTTTTTTGTTTTTTGCTTTTTGGGGCACACCCGGTGATGCACAGGGGTTAGTCCTGGCTCTACACCCAGGAGTTACTTTTGGTGGTGCTCAGGGGACCATATGGGATGATGGGGATCCAACCCGGGTCGGCTGCATGCAAGGCAAATGTCCAACCCGCTGTGCTATTGCTCCAGCCCCAAGAAAGTAATTTTTGATGAGAATTCTCTTCCTGGATTAAAGATGTCAATCTTTCTTTATCCTTACACAACCTCTCTATACATTAGTGCATTGAGAACTCTATTGTTTTTCTTCCTCTTTTTAAGGACATTTTTTAAAATTTTAACTTTTTTATTCACTGTGAATTACAAAGTTATTCATAACTGGGTTTCAGGATCACAGTGTTTGTCTCTCCAGCGATGGCCGGCCCCTGGCCCCCATCAGTCTGCCTGTATGAGAGACCTTTTTATTTATTTTTATTTTTTAAAATAACTTTTGTCACAATGGTGTACAGGACTATTGCTGATAGGGTCTATTTCATAACACTTTACTACCTTTCAACTCCCCCCATGTCCCCTTGTTGACCACTTCCCTCCACAAGAGTTGTAGTCCTGTTCCTGAAGGACACCCATCTGAATGCATTAGGGCTCCACCCTTAGCATCTCTACACTGGAAACAGCCTCCAGCGGCCCCTGTCTGAGGCATTACTTTGCTGGAGTTGGATTTCAGTCTCTGAATTTTGAGGGGCCAGTTTAGTTCATAACAAACAGAGCAAACAGAATATGATGCCTCAGTGATAATTTTATCTTTCTTGAATCTTATTTCTGACATTGATAAGTAATAGACATTGTACATCTGCTTTTGAAGAAATTGGGTAGCATTGAATTCTTTCCCTCCAAAGCTAAACACACTTAAAAGTGAAAATACACCTTTGGGATATTCTGCTGTTTTTGTATTTTCTTCATTACTGCTTCCTGTATTTTGACAGTGTAATGTGTTTACATAATAACAGAAGGTTAATGACATAGTAGAATAAAGGAAGTGCTCAGTGCTGGTGTTAGTGTGTTCTCTGTCTCACATCTCACCCACCTGCTCAGAAGAGAAGTAACTCAGCTTGTCATTGAAGTATGTGACTCACCAGTTGGGAATTTCTATGGTTGTTGAATAGAAATTTTTTTATTTTAAATGGGCCTGAAGTCAGCTTAGGTTGCCTAGTGTTATTATGTATTTTTTTCTCCACAACTAACACATGTAGTTAATTAGATATAGAGCATCTGTTTCCAAGAGTGTTCTGTAATGATGAAAATAGTCTTTATTTCCACTGTTCAATATGGTGACTACAAGTCACATTTTGAGTTCTTGAAAATGTGACTAGTACAACTGAGAAATTTTTTATTTTTTTTGATTTTTAATTAAAATTTTAAGATTTCTCTACACACAGATGACTTCCTGGTCCAGGAGGAAGAAGCAGTGTGATTAGTGATGGAGTTGATAGCATGGGTAATAGCAAACTGATCATTATCTAGATTTACAAAAGAAAAAAAGGAGAGCAAACAAACTTTGTTTCCAGTAGTGTCTTCTGAGAGATTTTGTTATTTTTAAGTAAAATCGTTTTATTTAGAGACATGTGAGGAGAGTTTGTGAGAGAGAAAGCAAGAGAAGAGAGAGTGGGAGAAAGCTGTAAGATTATAAGATAAAGATGTTATTAAAAGATATCACATGTAGTGATAAAGGTTAACATTTTTTCTAGTCATCACAAAATTCCAGATTCTGTGCTGTACTCTTCACATGCATTTTCTCACGTGAAGGAGGTACTTCCAGGTCAGAGAACATAAGTCCGCAGTGTACATACAGGTATATGCGTTGATGCACTGTGACTCAAACTCAGGCTTCTCATTTCAAAACTCATTCCTTTGATTGCCACACTAAATAATAAGCATTCTTCTGAATAACCAAAAAGGCTGGTACGCAAGGGCATTAGGAAGGAAGAAATTACTGGAACATGGGAACTACTTCAAAGAAATAGTTCACCTAAATTGTTTCCTGTTTGTCTTCAGAATTCTGAAAAAATGTTAATTTCTTTAGGAAGTTTTCCTTGTTCTCCCTGAGAGTTGGTTAAAGTTCTTCAGGATTTTATTGCCTGGACCCACAATAGGACCAAAACTAGACTAAAATTAATTTTTAGATGTTTTATTATGGTGACTTAACATTTAGTTATTTTTATTTCTTAGAATGGTGCATTCTTATACCTCAGGAACCTATTTCAGAATGGTTTCATCTACAAGTAGTACAAAATTCTTAACTATTTCCCCAGTAGAAAATTATTTCAGCTAACAGGAAATCAAAGGATGAGCAGAACTGGGCACAGAAGTGTCCATACTCTCTGCTGATCTTTTCCCCTTGGAGCAATGTTTTTATCCTTAATGTTCATATTGGATCCCTTAGCAGTTTCACTGTGTCCAAACCCGTTCCTTTTTTTTTTTTTTTAGAAAAGCTTCTATTTTAGAAATTCTCAAATATACATAAAAGAAGGCTCTTGGCATAGTAAGCAGTTTTGTATCCATAACGCACTTCAAACTGATTTAGAGTAACTCTTACTTAATCCAGGTTCCATCCTTGCTCTCCTCGCTTTGTTTTTAAACACCAAATCATATTTTTCAGAAGTACTGTTTAAAAGAAAAGAGGCTCTGAGGATGTGGTAGAGCACTTGCCTGGCATGTATGAGGTCCTTGGTTTAATCCCTGGTACTATAGAAATAACTAAATTTTTAAAAAAAGGGATGGGAAATTCAGGACTTCTGTGATCCCTCCCACCTCACCCCTCCCCTCCCCTCCCCTCCCCTCCCCTCCCCTCCCCTCCCTTCCCCTCCCCTCCCACCTCATTTACTCCAAGGATCCATTTGGGGAGATAAGCATTAGATCCAACCTTCCCTGAAATAAAGACACAGGTTGGCAGTGGGGTACAGGGTTCCTGGGTTGAAGAAAAAGAAAAGTTTGTTAAGTAGGTGGAAAGAGGTGATGAATAGTTTCTGCTTTGAGAACTCTGTTCTGTATATGTTTGACTCATCTTTAATATTCTCTCTTTAAAGTTGTTTTAATTGGGTGATTACTTAGGCTGAACTTCTTTAGTGGGATTTTATAAACACTATATTATGACCTATATTTGTTGGTAGTGGTTGAAAAATGCAGTTTCACCCACAGGTCAAAAGCTTTAGAAGGTTGAATTGATACCTATTGACCAAACTGAAACCAAGCTTATTCATTTGTTACTATAGATAGTAAGTAGTATATTTGTAGACTATAACTATAATTGAAAGAATATTTGATTGAAACTTCTATTTTCTATTAAGCAAAAAGTACTGCAAATATTATGCTTTTAATTTTGTTTTCAAAGTGTTCTTTAAAGAACTGTTTCTCTTGCTTTTAGTGGCATTTATTTTCAACTGGCTTGGATTTTGTTTATCCTTCTGTATCACCAATACCATAGCTGGAAGGTATGGTGCTATCTGTGGATTTGGCCTTTCGTTGATCAAATGGATTCTTATTGTCAGGGTGAGTTTCAATAATTTCTGTTGCCTTTACATTAAATTAAAATATACAACATCTTTATTGTGGTTCATAAATGTTTATTTAGTGCGTTTGAATTGAATAATTGTGAAACTTTTATTTCTGTAATTATTGTGACTTCTGGGATGTGAACATTTTATAACTTTATCATGAGAGTAAGTTAATCATGACAAGTGCTTTATTATTAGGAAAACTTGAGTCGGATATTATCTTCTTAAAATTTTTTTTGGTGTGTGGGGCTGTTGGGGCTATACCCAGTGGTACTTAAGGGCTGCTCTTGGCTAAGTACTCAGGGCTATACCTTTGTGGTGCTCAGGAGACTGTGCAATTCCAAATCAAATCAGGATGTTACTTTATTATATCTTATGTTTTAACTTAGTTTTTTAATTGTGCTAAGCATTAGTTTCTTTGTAATTGGCTGATAATAACTGCTATTCATGATTTTGGTAAGATACGGAAATAATAAACTTTATACAATTGCTATAAAAGTGTATGTGCCCAGTAAATTTTATCTATTAGTATAAACTGTAGGCTTGTCTAAATGTAACAATGTTTATTATATAACAATGTAAAGTTATCATAGGCTTAAATATCTTGTTTTTTCTAACTTTAGAAACTCAGAAGTTAGGTTTCAACTTTTAGATAACTACCAGAACTCATTTTCTGCCCCTCCACCCCAGAATTACTCCTTCTAAGCTATTTCTTATTTCCCTTTTCTTGGAAATACGTGTTTACCTTTTTGTGTTTATAAGATAATGTGTAGGGAAACAGAAGAGTTCATTTCTTCCCCCATCTCAGAAACTTTTGTAGTACTCAGGTTTCTGTAAAAGGTGCACAGACACTCAAATTGTTAATATAATTTCCCCCATCTCTTTCATTTTTGCCTTTAACTGCATCTTTTAGATCCTCTTTTACATAGTCCTTAGCCTCCTACTTCCTTTAGGATAAGGCCTAGGAGAGTGATAAAGAAAAAGCCTTATAGAGGTCAGGAGGCAGAAAGTGGGAGCCATTAGGGTGTGTGCCCTGTTGATCCCTGGCACCAGATGGCCTGCAGAACATCTCTGGGTTTAGCCTGGGAAGCCCCTGAGCACCTCAAGGGTCACCTGGTAGTCTCTGGCACCACAGAGATGAGTGGCACCACATTAGACTTGAGTGTTGAGTACCTCAGAGTATCAGGACAGCCATTTATATTTTAAAAGAGTCTTCTTAAAAAGTTACTCCCACATTGAAATGTTATTATACAATTACTAAAACACATCATTTCTACAAAGCATATTTATTTCATCTGATTTCCAGTTGAATAAAAAAGCCAGGGTCAGTAAAATCCAGAATTATTATGGCAACTGCTCTTAAAATGCTTCAGATTATGCACCTGTACATGATTTGAATGCTAAATTCTTGTTAATTCTACCGGTATGAATGACGTGGTTGTAATCCATACTTTTTATTGATGATGAAACTAATAATGTCTATAACTTGCTCAATAGGCCACAGTTTGTTTGTGGATTAGAATCTAGCATGGCTGCATTCAAAGTGGTTGAATTTGCTCCTGATTATGTTACCTCTCTTACATGTACTTCAACTTCTGATTCTCTAAGCCATAAATTCTCCTTGAAGTTTGGTGCTGAAAAGAAGATTTTTTCCTAAAGCTGGTCATTTCCTTTATTAGGTAGTAGGTGGTTTATAAATTGTACTGCTTGTTCTTTGCCTTTTTGCTCTGAGTTGCCATGAACCATACGCAGATTTTTTTAGCCCAAGGTTTGGTACTGTTCTGTCCAAGTTCTTGATATTTTTATTTCTTTAAAATATCGTCACGGTCACGGTCCTCCCGTTGTTCATTGATTTGCTCGAGCGGGCCCAGTAACGTCTCCATTGGAGACTTTGTTGTTACTGTGTTTGGCATATCGAATACTCTCGGTAGCTTGCCGGGCTCTCCGAGAGGGGCGGAGGAATCGAACTCGGGTTGGCCATGTTGGCCCTGTGCAAGACAAACAAATGTCCTACCCACGATCTATCGCTCCAGCCCATTTTTTTTTTAATTTTTTCCCTTTATTTTATTTTATTTTTTTTACAGTTGTAGTTGTACAATTTTTTGTGCTTGGGTTTCGATTATACAATGATCAGATACCCATCCCTCCACCAGTGCCCATTTTCCACCACCATGGATAATATCCCCCCACCCCCATCCCCCCTGTCTCTGTGGCAGGGCAATCCCCTGTGTTCTCTCTCTCCTTTTGGGTGTTGTGGTCTGCAAAAGAGGCATTGAGTGGCAAACATGTTCAGTCCATAGTCTACTTTCGACATGCATCTCCCCTCCTGGGAGGATCCTCCAAACATTCTTTATTTGGTGCTCCCTTCTCTATCTGAACTGCCCTTTCCTCTAGGATACCCGGCTGGCCTCTAAGTTATGGAGTAATCCTCCTGGTGCTGATCTCAGCTATTCTTGGGTATTAATCTCATACTTTGTTACTTTATATCCCCCAGATGCATGCAATCTTTCTATGTCTATCCCTCTCTTTCTGACTCATTTCGCTTAGCATGATACTTTCCATATTGTACCACTTGTATGTAAATTTCATGACTTCATCTTTTCTAACAGCTACATAGTACTCCATTGTGTAGATGTACCAAAGTTTCTTTAACCAGTCATCTGTTCGTGGTCCAGCCCATTTCTTTAAAATATATTTATTTTAATAAAAATGAACAAGTTTTTAAAAAATAGGATAAAACAATAAGTGCTGTGTTAATAACAAAATTGGACTTATTTTCATTAACTTATTTTCTAAATTTTGATTTTGTTTCCTATGATTGATCAATCAGTAACTATAAAAAGCAATAATAATGACTTTTCTTAGCTTTATGATACTAGTATTTTTAAAAAGTTTTGTTAACTCAGTAGTGAGCCCTACATAGACTCATTATTTTTTAATATTTTTCACTTAATAGATTTAGGGAAGTATTTTTGATTAAGAGTGACATTGTTCTGAGAGAGAGAGAGAGAGAGAGAGAGAGAGAGAGAGAGAGAGAGAGAGAGAGAGAGAGAACACGCCCTGCCACAGAGGCGGGGTAGGGTGGAGGGGATAAGGTGGGGGTAGTGGGAGGGATGCTGGGACCATTGGTGGTGGGAAATGGGCACTGGTGGAGGGATGGGTACTTGTTCATTGTATGACTGAAATGCAAGCATCAAAGTTTGTAAGCCTGTAACTGTACCTCACGGTGATTCACTAATTAAAAAAAAAGAAACAAAGACAAACTTCACAAAAAGTCAGGAAAAAAAAGAAAAGAATACCATTGTTCTTAATTTTCTCTAAATGTATTGCTTTAGCTTTTTATTCTTATTGAATCTAAAAGCTGTATGAAAAGTTTTTCTTTCTAATTATTATTTGGCATTGGTTCCTTTTTTACAATCCTTTAGAAGCTGTAGTTTCTCATTGTACATATTTTCAGAGTGTAGCATTAATTTGTACTTGTATCTTTACTGGTACTTAAATTTTCTACTGCTCTACGCTTGGAATTTAGATCATGGTTTATTTAGTGTAGAAACTTCCCATGAAAATACTTAAAAAGCATTGAAATAAAACCAGATATCTTTTTTATGCCTTTGTTTCTTGGTATGTTCCTCAGTAGTGGTACTACTTGCAGTTTGTAAGTGTTCCAGTTGTTACCATGGTTAGGATTTCTTAGTCTTTATGGAAATTACTAGTAAATTTTTGGAAATAATTTTCTATAAAATTGCAGATTATTTAAAATAGGTGCATATTTGAGTTCAAATATTAGCCAAGTAATTTTTATTTAAATCAGATTCAGAACACAGTAAATAAAACATGTTCATTTTTGCAGTTTTGGAGTTATGTCAGACGCTGAAATGTAATTTTGAAGCATGGAAAAATTAAATGAAGTTACTCTAAAGAAAACAAAATTGACTTTATAAACCTTTAAAAATAATAAACTGTATCTAGAAAATGATACCAAAGAAAGTATACCTCTATGCAGTATCATTCAACCTTACTTTCCATTTGTTTGTTCATATTCTTAATTTTCAGGGAATATAAAACTGCTTACTGTGGCCTGCCTCTAATAGGAACTATTGACATGCCACTTCAAGGTTCATTTAGCTGTTCTTAGCTCACTGTTGGGAACTGAATACTGGAGCATCTAGCTTGAAAATAAAAAGACTAATGAATTGGGGGTCTTTATGTGCCTGGTATTCTTGGCAGTGATTAACAGTGGGTGGTGTACAGAAGGTCAAAAGCTCTTCTTTTTGGAGGTCAGCAGAACATCCCCATCTGATAAGATTAAACTAATGTGGCTTTTGGTGTTAATATCTAAAGCAGCAGGTCGCTGTAGTGTGATCAGGATGGTAGTTGTGACTTTGAGAGATTATGAAAAAAGAACTGACATGTGAACTCTCTAATGAGAAACTATTGGAAAATATGCAGTTACTCCCCCCCCCCACTCCTTTTAACATTGTTTTGTTTCTAACTATTGTTTATGAATTTACAAGAGATTTTTTTCCCTTCTATATGTCAATATTTTTCTTCTTTTTGTAATTTTTTAAGTATTTTAAGTGTTAACAAGATTGAGATGAATCATTCTGAAACAGGCTAATTCAATAGTTATCAAATACAGTTACTATATTTATGCTTGCTCCATAGTTTTCTGATTATTTTACTGGATATTTCAATGGACAATACTGGCTTTGGTGGATATTTCTTGTGCTTGGTAAGTTCTTAATGCACTTTAGTTTGATTAATTTTCATTTCTTTAATTTTGATATTTTCTAAAATTGTAATATGTAAATAAATTGCATTGCACTTTGTATAGAAATAATGAAAAATCAATAATAATGGACTTTCTTAGCCTTATATTAGTATTTTTAAATTTTTGTGGTGGAAGTATATAAAAAGCAATAATATGATAGTATGAAAAGCATCAGTAGGCGTGCTCTTAAGTTCTCATGTCCAAATATTTGTTATCATCGCAGCCATTCAGATAACTCTATGTAGTATTTCCAGATTTCTTAGATTTAAAATCTGGGGCCTGACAACTTAAATAATTGTTAAATGAGAATTGAATTCTACCAAATTTGAAAAATCAGAGCATGATAAAAAGCAGTTATTTCAGGATATGTTTTTGAAATTGCACATGCATAATTTCTCTTAATGATTTTAGGAGACCTCAGAGTAGGATAGTTTGAATGTTCTATCCATTCGCTTATCATGGAGACATTCTGTATACTTTTGAAATGTACATGCATTAATCATGAATCAGCCAGGCATTAGGAAAGGCTTCATGCCTAGTGATCACAGAAATACTGCTGTGGTGTCTTCTTACAAGGTATGTCTCTTTATTAATATTAATAAATTTTATAGATTTCTGATTTTTGTTCCCTTATGCCTTTTTTTTTTAAACTTTGGATGCCTGGTAATATTACACCTTTAGTACATATTTCAAATTTATTTACTGACGTGGAGAATGCATTTTGTTTCTATTTGGTTTAAAAGACCACATTTCTCCAGCAAAATAATTGTACCGGAAAATAGTAAGATTTCAGTAGGTGGCAGTCTTCTCTTTGAGTTATTATTTAGTCATGCCGTTGGATCTTTAGAATCTTTGGGGAAGGAAGCATTCATAGTATTAGCTGAGGTCACTAAGATTTTGTGTCCTTTCTCTGACAGTTATAGTGAAATGTGACATTGTTGGGAAGTTAGACTCATACCAGGGTTTAGCCAGCTTTATATTGTTCATTGCATTCTGACTGCTTCAATTTGTATTCATTTTTGAGTTTTTTTTTTTTACTTAAAAGTAAGAAATGAGTATGTAAAGGATTATATGAACTAATAAAGTATTCAAACATAATAACAATATATCTGCTTATGTATCTTACTAAATTATCAGACTCTTAGGAACACTTACCAGGAGTGGAATACAGATAAAACCCCAGTTCTTTATTAGAGCTATAATCTTTCATTTACATAAGGGAATTAAAAAAATCTAATCCATGATTAAAATGTTCTTGTTATATACTAAAGAAAAGTCAACCACACTTTAACTTTTAGCCATTGGTTGCTAGATAGAAATTGGCTTAGTTCAGAAAATTTCTGAGCAGAACAAAATATATTTCTTAGAATTGTCATGTTAATTCGTAGATAAAAGAAGTGATTTCACCAATAATTTTGGTTTACTTATTTTCAACAATACTTTTATATTTGGGTCACAATACTTTATTTAGATCACATTATCTTTGAACTGTATCTGGAAGGGCACAAGGATAGAGAATTCAGAGCAGAGTCACAGAAAGAAGAAATTAGGATGTGCAAAGCAGATAGAATCCAGTTTAGAAGAAATTTTACCCTTAGTTTTGAGTCATTTTAATATATCATATCTTTTCTCTCTAGTATATGATAGAACTTTTTTTATGTTTCAATTAGTGCTGGAAGTTGGGGTACAATTTGGTATTTCTCATTTAAAATTAATAGGCTTTTCCTTCTAGGTATGGAAAGTTTTACACACATACATACTTTCAGTTTTTGTTTTTTTAACCTCCCATCATTAACTGGTTAAAAATTTACCAGAGTTAATAAATGTTTCCCTTAGAATTGTATGCTTAAATATATCAAAGGCTTAACTGTACTAATAATGGCAATGCTATTTATACTTAGCTATTATTTTTCATCTGAAGCTTTGAAGTAAAATTCACAGGCATTGCTTTCTTTACATTATGAAAGATCATCAGTGATATAAAATAGTTGTTATTTCAATATAGTATTTTACAGAAAAGATGATATAAAATATATAAAAACACTCAAGAAATCAGAGTTGCCCGTTCCCAAGTGTTCTTTCCTGATTCTTCACAGTAACAACATTTATTATTATAAATTACTCTTTTACTAGTATTTGAAAATAAGACTAATTAAAATTAAGTAATGCCCTTTTTTTTCAAATATAGCTTTCACAGATAGCAGAAAGTTGATATTGCTAACCTATAGGTTATATACATTATTATTATTATTATTATTAGTATTCTCTTTTGAATACTTTAGATATGATACGTTAGTTAAAATTTTTTATATGGGATTAATCTGTTTCAGTGATTAGGATCTATTATGTAAATTATATAATACACATTTTTGTGTAACTTGTTTTTTATGACAGGTTACTTTAATTTTGACTTTTTTTGGCAATAAAATTTGACTATTATGTATTCTTATTACTCATTATAATCAAATTATATATCTTTCTGATGGAGTTTTTATAGTATAAAATATGGAATGAATGAAGTTTCATTGAATTTCTTAAACTAAGAAGATCTTGTTTATAGTTATCTTTTAAATTTATCATGTCCCCTCACTATATATAAACCTGACATGTTTTTATTATTTTAACCTTCGCAGGCCTGCTCCTTTTCTTCAGAGGGTTTGTCAATTATCTGAAAGTCAGAAATATGTCTGAAAGCATGGCAGCTGCTCATAGGACACGTTATTTCTTCTTACTATAGAGGTAAGAAATAGCAATAATAATTTAATATCATCCCTTTAATCCTAATTGATTAGGCACATATCGAATGCTTAATGTATATTTGTGTTATTAATTTGAATTCAACATATCAAATGTATGTTTATACAGTCAGTCAGCTTATTGAAATTTAATGTTACTTTGTGGGATAACTTTTAGGTCTTTAAATTTGAATTTCATAAAATTACATAAAATGTTATAGGCAAATTGAAACTCGAAATCAGTTAAGAAACTCTTAATACTTTAAGAATACTTTAAGAATTACTCTTAATATTAAAAAACTCTTAATTGTTCTTTTTCAAAATTGACCACAGGACATATACAAATTAATCACCAGCAGAAAATTTGATAGCTTAAAAAACAAAATAAGACAAAGTGTTGGACGTTTTGCACACACAAAATATTAAAATGCACAAGGACGTCTGATGAAATAAACATGAAAGAAATTTGGTATTGAAAAGTAGCTTCCCATATGGTAATCTTAATAAACTAGATCAGGAATAAAAGTTGTGAAGAAACTGGGAGCTCTGTTAATTCTTCCTTCATGTATATGAGTCTCTGTCAACAGTGAATACTACAACTTGTGTGAATGGAATTGTAAAAAACGAAGAGCTATAAAGAGAATATATAGAGAAGAGAGTAGAGGTTGTCTTCTTACTAATTACCCACTGAGTTTCTCAAGACTGTTTAATGTAGCAATGACATTTATTGTATAGTCAGTGTCATTACATGAAGAGGTTGCATGTCATTTACTTTCTGTCCTATTTTTTTAACATTCCATACATTCATAGCTAGAAAAGATTTGAATTTTTAAAGTATTTCAACTACATATATGATGCTTACTGAAAGTTCTTGATTTTTGTTACAGGCTACTATAAGATTAAAATTAAATAAAATTTAGACTATAGCAAATGTATGATTAAGTACAAAATGTTCGGTGGGGGTGTTGGTGATGCTCGGGGGCAGTGCCAGGGGATTGAACCCAGGGCCCGACACATGCAGGGTGTGTGCTTTGATGTGTGAACCACATCCCTGGCCCCACCAAGGGTTTTAAGGTTATTATTGCATAACCCTCACTTACCGTAGGGTTTGTGATTTGGTTGTTTAAATGTTATTTATAATTTAAACACAGTTTATCCATACTCAGTACAATGAATACAGTTGTGTTTCTGACTCATATTCAAGAATTGATCGAAATGCTACATTATAAGGTTCTCCTCTCCAAGAACAAAGATTTTCTTTATATATAATGTGTAAGTCTTTGCAAGCACTAATCTTAAGAATCTGTAGTATTAACCATAAGATAAAAGGCATGGTAATTTTGCTACTTTAAAGATAAACTGTTAGTATTCACGTGATTGTCTTGTTTTTAAGACTCTAAAATCTAGATGTTTATAGGTTTATAGAAGTTTACAATTTTACAATATTTTTCACAGCAGAATATTAATATAGCATACTGCTTCATCTTTATCAGAAGAATATATGTACTTCAGTAATCCTATGAAAGGAGTACTTATTATACTATTTATATTTTATACATATATGTACTGTTAATATATATTTATTGTTATACATCTTAATACTTTATAAGACTAATTCTTTTTTTGTCCCTAGATTACATCGACCAGACATTCCTTTCTTACCAATGTGAAATTTCCAGATCATCTGTAAACCCTCAACTTTAGTAGGATAGAAGAGTACTAATAACTGAAGTTAAATTAGTGAAGAAAAGATAGAACATTAAAAGTGAATGCCAGGGTGGTTTACGTTTAAAAACCATTTCTGTTCATTCTCTAAGTATTTGTATTTCACTTGTTTTGCATATTTGCATATGTGCCCATTTAAAGATTTGCTTATACTTGATAGAAAACTATAAAGTCTCGCAGTAAAAGCCACATTTGGTTCATCAGTGTTTGATATCATTGAAAGAGTTGAGTGATACAGCATTCCAGCATGTAAATGCCATTGATCTCTGACCTTACATTTAATAAAATAAAAATGAAATTATTAACCATATCAAATGTTTTAGTTTTTGGCTCTTAGATCAGTTTAGGTAACTACACTTGAAACATCCTTTGTTATCTATTAAGGTTTTTGAAACCTGCAGGACTGATTATTAGAAAAGCTTTGTCAGATTTTTGAACAGGATATTTACATTATTATTTAGCAAAACTCATTGTGTAAATAATCGTGCATAAATTACTTTCTGCATTTTCTTATAAATTGTGTCTAGGTATCTGTTCATTAATTTTAAATTAAGTGATCTTTATATATATATAGAAAATTTGGGCGTTAAAGCTAGAGTTCTTTTTCAGGACAATTTTTTTTTAATATGTGAGTATCACACATGTCCTTTGTAAGAAAGTCTCTTTTTTTTCTTTGAAGGGACATGCAAGTTTTAGGGATTCTCAGATGAGAAGCTTGGTTTTAGCATTGTCCATTTTAGAGAATTTTGCAAGAAGAAATTGTAGAAATTGTATTAGATTCTATATTTATTTCCTTTTAAGTCATTTTTAAAAATTAATTGAATAAGATATTCTCATTTGCATCTGTCTTTTAAAAAGCCAATAAAATATCTTTCAGCATCATTGTAATTTTTTTCTTTAGCTGTTTAATTGGTTAAACTTGGCAAATAAAAGCTATTCGTAACTTCTTGCTTTATGATTGTAGATTTAATTTGTAAAAAATATTTTTATTTGAGATAAATCATCCATCTTTCAAGTCAACGAAATACTTTTGCAGACTGAGGGATTGTGGAATGTGTATGTATGTTTTGAGTGTATGTGTGTTTGTGGTCATTATTACACCTGGAATCCACATATGTAAATGACTACATTTTGCAGAATTTTTATGTCTCATCTGCTTTTCCTTTTAATTATTTCTTTGCTTTTAAATGCCTACTTTAGACATGCTGAGAATTATAGCACTGGAACTGCTCAAAGGGCAAGTGCCTTACCTGCTATATGTAATATCAGTTTTTTATTTTTTTCTTTTTGCCAACTCCTGTGGTGCTTAGGAGCCACTCCTCAGTGTTTCAGGGGGTCCATGCAATGCCAAGGTCCAAACCCTGACCTCTGCAGAGAAGTGTACTCTCTGGCCCTTTGCACTCTCTGCTACCCAGTTTAGTTAATTTTTGTTTGTGTTGAATTTTTCTTTGGTAGTTGTTATTTATACTTGGTTTCTGAAGATATATCACTTTTGATGCAAGTTAAAAACTTAACTTTTTCTGTGGTGAGGGACACACCTGGCAATCCTCTGGAGATATTCTCAGCAAGGTGCTGTGCAGTCACTTCTGTGTGGTTCCGAGACTAAACCCAGGCTTCTCACATGCCAAGTGTGTGTACTCTGACCCTCTGCGCCATCTTCCTGGCCCCAAACTTCAGCTTTTCTTTTGAGTTTTCCCCTTCAAACTTAAAAGATTCAAGTGTGTACATTATCTAATCATCTCAGATTCGTACAGTTCAGTGGCAGCCTTAAATCCTAATATCCAAGCAGGGAATTAATGTAACTTTTCAAAACATAACATCACCTTCCATATTGACCCTGTATACCTTCTCTTCATTCCCTGTGAGCTTGAGTTGAAGAGCTGCCTCTGTGTTTGGGGTGTGTTTCCACCTTTGCCCTTTGCTTAAAGATTGAAAATTGAATTATAGAGTGTTTAAACAATTTTTTGAATGGATGTGACTGGGTCTTAGAGTTTAACACAAAAATGTATTAAATACTTTCTACATGGAAGAAACTAATATGTTAAGGATAATCCATTCTTACATATTTATGATTAACTGATTTAAGTTAAATACATTTCTCTGTTCATGATCTGAGAATCTGTATTTAAAATTAAAGGTATTTTGTTACATGGTTAAAATGATAATCTGTTTAATAGAGAAAAAAGCTAGCCCCTTTGTCTTTCATTTTGAGTCAGTTATATCACATTGCCTTTGAGAGTGTTAATATATTTTAATCTCAGTAATCTATATTTTGTAGGAAAGCTTTTCCTAATAATACAAATGGAGTCAAAAAAAGCCCCGATAAGTCTTAGTCATTCCCATATTCTTTTTTTCTCCTTTTTATTGATTCACTGTGAGGTACAGTAACAAAACTTTTATGTTTGACCTTCGATCATACCATCATCAAATACCCATCCCTTCACCAGTGCACGTTTTCCACCACCAAAATTCCCTCTCCTCCCCACCCCCACCAATTCCACACCTTCCCCTACCCATGTGGCAGACAATTTGCACAATACTCTCTCTATTTTAGTTACCTTCGATATTTCGAGATCAGTCTTACCACCACTCATATCTGCCGAAAAAGCAATGCTAGACAATGTTTTGTATTGCATGTTTATGGATACAATGTAATGTCACGGCTGCCTGCGCTAGGAATGATAAAATTTTAATAATTAGGGTCAGGAGAGATCGCTACAGAAAGTTGCTCAGGTCTGAGGTTCGTTTGTGTGTCTGGATCATCACCGTGTGGGAGCTTACGTAGATGGTAGCCATATGTGGACATAATCTCAGAGTCCAGTCGGGGCGGGGGAAAGGAGAAGGGCCAACTCCTCACCTATCCCGTGAAACCTGGTGTTTGCTGGAAGCTTTTGCTGAGTTCTAGAAGATGTCGGCCACCGGGATTCTTAGGGGGCAGGCAGAGGAACAGCACCTGTTCCTGATTGGAGTCGTCCAGCGAAAGTGGTCTATTGCAAAGTCCAGAGCCATCTCTGCAGCAAGTTGCTCGGATCTGAGCTTCATTTGTGTGTCTCTGGATCATGGCCTTGTGGGAGCTTAAGTAGACGGTGGCCATTTGTGGGCGTCATTCCAGGGTGATTCCTATATTCTTGACCTAAATAGTGCCTCCTCTTATCCTTGAAAGTGTTCTAATTTGAGTGATAGTTTATGATCTCTTTACATAGCTGTGCACTGTTCTGAGAACGATGGTGTATAAATTACACTGGCCTGTAAGGGAAGGAACTGATGGATTAGGGTTGAAGCTAATTATTGTCACAGCCTTTCCTGAGGAATGGTCTGTGATGAACCAGTACAAAACACATAGTATTCCATACCCCACCACCCCAGTCCAGGTTGTATTAAAATTATTTCAGCTTGTGGCAAAAAGAAAACTACATTATATAATTTAAAACTACATTAATGTTATTGTAATGGTTTTTTAGCTTTTATTCAAGTAGTCTTGAGAAATACTAGTTTTTTTAAAAAATATTTTTATTCAATTAAAGGAACATAATTTACAAAGTTACTGACAATTGAGTTTTAGGCATCTAATGTTTCAACACCACCCTCCACCAATGTTCCCAAACTCCTTCCAGGCCCCTCTTCCACCACTGCCTGCCATCTTGACAGGCTCATTTCAGACTTCCGTGGTTGCAGTTAGGTCCTAAGGTTTTCAGTGCCGTTAAATTTGTGCTTTGGCTCTATAGCTATATCACACTCCCACATCACTGATGTAACCCAAGCCCCGACCCTGTTTCTCCATTACTTCCCTTTCTCATCTTCCATCCCCCTTTGATTTCTTTCCTTCTCTGACCTTCATGTATTCTAGGGTCAAGGGTGACCTAGGCATTTCCCCTTTTATTACATTATATTTCCTCATCAGGTTGTTCTATATACCACAGATAAGTGAGATCATCTTGTGTTTGTCCTGGCTTACTTCATTTCACATATCTTCTAGTTCCAATCAGGTTGCAGCAAATGGCATGATTTCATTGTTTCTTGCAGCTGGATAGTAATCCATTGTGTATATATACTGCATCTTCATAATCCGTTAATCTGTCACTGGACACCTAGGTTGATTCTATATCTTAACCACTGTACTAAGTGCAGCAATGAATACTGGTGTGCATATATCCTTTTGAGAGAGAGAGCAAGAGTGAGAATGAGAGAGAGCGAGAGAGAGAAAGAGAATTCTGCAAAATGGAATTTCTAGGTTGTATGGCAGCTCAATTCTAAATTTACAGAGAACTTTCCATACTGTTTTCACAGGGCTTAAATCTGACAACATTCCTACCAGCAGTGGATGAGAGTTTCATCACATTCCCAGATTGTTCCTGTAGTTCTTGATATGTGCCATTTTCACTGCTGTGAGGTCATATCTCATTGTCCTGCTTTGGATTTCCCTAATGATAAATGATGCTGAACATTTTTTCATGTGCTCATTAACCATCTGTCTTCCTCTGAGAAATGCCTGTTCATCTCCTCTCTCCATTTTCTTGATAAGGTTTTTGGGTTTTTTGTTGTTATTGTTGAACTTTGTGAGTACTTTATATATTCTGGATATCACCCTTTTTAGCTGATATGTTGAATGCAAATATTTTTTCCATACATAAGCTAGCTATCTTTTCATTTTAGCCCATTTTTTTCCACACAGAAACTCTTTAGTTTGATATTGTCGCATTAATATTTTTGATACTGTTGCCCTTGCCACCATATCATTGAAGATGCCTTTGATGTCTAAATCTTGAAGCATTCTGCCTATATTTTCCTCGATGTACTTTATAGTTTATGATTAGATCTCATAGTCTGATGTACTTTGAATTGACTTTTGTGGAAGTGTGAGTTAGGGATCCAGCTTTAATTTTGGACACATGCCTATCCAATTTTCCCAGCACTATTTGTTGAAGAAGCTATCTTTACTCCAGTTCATGTTCTCAGCTCCATTATTGTGAATTAACTGTCCATAAATATGGGGTTTTGTCCTTGGGTATTAAATTCTGACCCATTGGTGAGAGAGCCTAAATCCATTGGTCAGAGAGCCTCTCTTTATTCCAGTGCCATGCAGTTTTGATCACTGTAACCTTATAGCATAGTTCTAAATTAGGTAATAAAATACCTCCCAATTTCTTCTTTTTCCTGATGGTCTTGGCTATTCATTGTCTCTTCGTACTCATACTAACTTTCTTCTTGACTTTTGTAGGTCCTTGAAGAGTGTCACCTCAATTTGAATGGGGACTGCCTTGAATCTATGTAATAGCTTTGATAGGATAGTCATTTTAGATTCTTCCAATCCATGAGCATGGAATATTTTTCCATTTCCTAAGTTTTTTTTTAATCTCAAGTGACTTAACATTTATGGTATAAATCTCCCATCCCTTTTGTTAAGCTGATTTCTAGATACAAGATGGTTTGGATACTATTTTAAATTGGATAGACACCTTGATTGCTTTCTCCTCTGATTCATTCTTTGCATATAAGAATGCAGCTGATTTTTGTGGTTTGACTTTGTAGCTGGCCACTTTGCTATATTGTCTTATTGTTTCTAGGAACTTTTTTGTAGACTCTTAGGATCTTCTATGTATATCATATCATCTGTAAATAGTGATAATATGACTTGATACTTTACAACTTGTATCTCTTTGATTTTTTTCTTACCTGATTGCTGTAGCCAGCACTTCACATACTATATTAAATAAAAGTGTAGACAGTGGACATCTGTGTAAATCCCACTCATGTGTGCAGAGCTGTGAAAACCCCTTCGCTTGGGGATTACACGTGAAAGGATGTTCTCAGGCTCTCTGGGCAGCTCTCTCTCGATGCCCAAGTTGGGTGCTCTCAAGCCGCTTCTCCACCCGGGACAGCTG